ATGTTTGTAAAACGTCCCCTAGGATCCACCAGTGCTTGCAGCACCATTGAAAAATAGCCCTTTCGGTTAATGTACTGGCTGGCCTGGTGGTCCGGTCCCAGGATAGGGATGTGAGTTCCATCTATAGCCCCACCGCAGTTTGGGAATCCCATCGCGGCGAAGCCATCTATGATGACCTGGACATTTCCAAGGGTCACTACCTTTGACAGCAGTAGCTCAACGATTGCGTTGGCTACTTGCATCACAGCAACCCCCACGGTAGATTTGCCGACGCCAAAGTGATTCGCGACTGACCGGTAGCTGTCTGGCGTTGCAAGCTTCCAGAGGGCTATGGCCACTCGCTTCTGGACAGTCAGGGCTGCTCGCATCCGGGTGTCCTTGCGCTTCAGGGCAGGAGACAGCAACTCACAAAGTTCCAGGAAAGTTCCCTTCTGCATACGAAAGTTTCGCAGCCACTGTGATTCATCCCAGACCTGCAGCACTATGCGGTCCCACCAGTCCGTGCTTGTTTCCCGGGCCCAGAATCGCCGTTCCACAGCATCAACATGACCCATTGCCACCATGATGTTCACGGCGCGGGGTCCGGTGCTTTGTGAGAGGTCTGTGCCACTCTCAGACTTCATGTCCTCACCGCGCTGCCGTAGCTTCCTTGCCCGATTTCTCAGCATCTGCCTCTGGAAAAGGTGGATGATAAGGTGCGAGGTGTTGACAACGGCCATAACTGCAGCGATGGTCGCAGCAGGCTCCATGCTCGCGGTGCTGTGGCGTCCGTGCTGTCAATCACCAGAAAAGTGGACGAACTGATTGCCTGCCGGCGCTTTCAGGGAGGGAGGGCAGGAGTGACGATTGGATGACAACAGTTACCCAAAACCACCCTCGACACATTTTTTTCCCCAGCAGGCATTGGGAGCTCGACCCAGAATTCCAATGGGCAGCGGGGACTGCGGGAACTGTGGGATAGCTGCCCACAGTGCACCGCTTCCAATGTCGACGCTTGCCCCGTTAGTGTGGACTCACAAAGTCGAATTACTGTCCTTAGTGTGGATACACACGTTCGACTTTGTAATATCGATTCCACATATTCGATTTAAGTACAATCGAACTACTCTCATAGTGTAGACATACCCTAAGAATAAGAGTTTTGAGGTATTCTACCTAGTTTGAATTGATAAAATCTTGGATACTGCATCATGACTACATTTTACACAGAGAACAACCATTTTCTTGCTTCTTTCTTTTCCCAGCCCTGAGATGCCTGAAAATGAAGCTACGTTTGCAATAACCGCTGGAGGGATTGGGGATGCCAAAGAGTAGATGGAAAACTGATGCAAATCTGCATTTGAAAACAGCCCATGCACCTCAGATGAAGCCATGGTATCCAAGGTCTGACTCCTTGGTTACTTAGTGTTTTTCATGCACAGTTTGGAAAGTTTAGAATTAGAAGAATGCTGTGAAGAGCTTTTTAGGTATCATATTTCAATAATCTTAACAGTTCCTGGTTCACCTTAGTGCTATTTTAAAATGATCTTTCAAGCAGCCAGAAGTTGAAAAAGCACAGAAATGTGACTTATTCAAGAAATAGCTTCCTTGTGGTTCAGGAGAAGCAAAGCTGTTTTGTCACATGGGCTTAATGTGCACTTTTTATAGTTTCTTGGGAAAGGAATGTCTTTGGAATAGAATATAATGGCATGGAATGGAACAGCATTGAAACACAGTTTTTAAAAAATAATGAGTAGACAGAGGGAAAGTGCAGTGAAAGAGAGACAAGAATAGGTGAACTTGCTAATGTTTCATTGACAGTAGAGGAATGATAGTTGCTTGAAAAGATTTTTAGAAATCTTGATTAGATTATTTATTTGTTTTTAAAGTGCCTGTATTTCTGTTTTGGAATATTTAAAGCTGTTGTCTATTTTTTTATATCTATGAAAAATGCTAACTTAAAACATCTCTCTTCTTTATGCTTGTGTGCAATACAGCCAACACATAGTTTGAGTGAAACCCTGGTTCTGTGAGTAGTCTCGCTGATTTTGTTGTGAAAATTTGCATGAGTAAACTAATGGGATATAGCCTAACATTATAATACTTCAAATATTTTTTAAAAATAAAGAAACAGTATATGTTTAACACTTGGGGGAGGGGCAGAGTCTTCAATTTTTCGTCTTACTTCAGCTGTTATCTATGAGAATCCCAGGCTGCAGAGATCCTCCCTGCAACTGAGGAGAGCCGGATGGGGTGGGACTAACTGGTGCCTGACAACGCTATTAAGATTGGTCAATGAGACAAAAGCAACACAGTATGCTCCCTTCTTCTCCACTTGCCCTAAGCCAGTGGTTTCCAAACTTTTTCAGAGTAAAGAACATTTTAATAAGCAAGATTATCTTGTGGACCACCTCTCTTCCCATTCACAATCACATAATATCCCTGTGGCAATAACAGCAATTGCTCTCTTAGAAAATATTAGGAAGGTATATATTTTTACCACCTTGCAATACAATACAAAGAAGAGACTCAGCACCAGGTGACAAGTTAGTGATAACAAATCTCATGAAACACAAGATAGAGGACTTCATGGAGCCTATGGGACACCTCCTTGAGCACAAAGCTGCAGAGAGTCCACTCTAGACAATCTCTCTCTTAAAATGTGGACCAAAACAGGAAAAAATTTGAGAGCCATTGGATTACAGGGTTTGGTCCTGTGTTTGGATCAAAGGTTGGCAAAATATAAGCTCTTGATATCCATATGAAACTCTAGTGATCAGCCTAATTAAATGTATCTGTTAAAGTATAAACTTAAATGCAAAACAGTCAATTCATTTATAGTGCATAAACAAGCAATGAAAGATGCTTCAGTACATGAGAAAATAATATTTTCTCACAGTCTCATGGATGGCCCACAAAGAACACACGTCAACACATTCTTCTAAGAGGAAATAGACAAAATATAATACAACTTTCCCCCTCCCCTTGGCTTGCATTCTCTTCCTCCCTCCCCTCCTACTACTCTCTCCTGCTTTTTCCCTGTGAGGGATGCAGAAGTTTCTTGTTCACTTTCCTCCTTCAACTTCTCCAGTTGCCCTAGTGACTGCATCCAGTCACATTTTCTGATCTTCCTCATGCCCATACTCATCTCCTCCCTTACTCTTAACTTCTTGCTCTCCTCTGGCTTTTTCCTCTCACAATACTAACACGCTTCAGTCTCTTCCATCTTAAACAAACCCACCCTTGACCCAATTTACCTCTCCAACTACTGCCCCATTTCCCTCCTGTGACCCAGTGTGCATAGGCTAGCCCTCACTGAAAATGCCAAGATCAGGGCAGGCTGCAAAAAGGAGAGCAGATTCTCCCCAAACTGGTGGTTAACCCTGAAGTTAGACCCACCAACCAGTCAAAAATTGTGCTCCTGATCCCCCATACTGGTTATCAAGAAGCTGAAAAAAGAAATCACATGGCCCCCTTTATTGCATTCCAGTTCTCTGGCTCCCAATTAGCACATAGGTCCAGTAAGGTGAGGAGTTATTTAAAAACGCTGCTCACTATACAAAATGTTCTTCTGAACCCCACAGGGTTCACATTGCCAGGTCAATATTAGTTTGGATATTACCCAAAATACCACGCTGCCAGCCAATCTTTTAGTATTTAAAACTAAAGGTTTGTTAGAAAAGAAAAGGAAAGAACAAGAAGAGAGTTGTTAAATGGTAAAGCAATCAGATACATATATGTCTCCAGATCCATATATCCATTTCTTAGCAGTATTGGTGAGTTTGCTGGCTTGAAAGTCCCTCTGGAACACATCCAAAGCTTGGATGGGTCATTCAGTCCTTTGTTCAGAGCTTCAGTTTGTAGAGAAGTTACTCCAGAGGAAAGAAGCAGGATTGAAAACAAAATGGAGAATGATGCAGCTGCCTTTTCATATCTTTTGCCATGTGGCTTGTACATCCTTTGTCCCAAACACAAGCTTCACAGCACATGGCATGGAAAAGCCTTAGAGTTCTCTGTTCACAGGCATGCCCCTACAAGTCTTGCTGATTCATAAGGTGAAGCCTCTGGCTTCCTTCAATGGGTTCATTGTCACTGATTGCCCTTGATGGGCAATGGAACAGGATAGGCAGTGCTGATGCATTTCTGTCTGGGGGTGTCACCCAGATACACAGCACAAGTTTGAAATACAAATATACCACACATATTTATAACTTACAATACAAAGATGATACAAACATATAAAAAAGATTATCATACTTGGCAAATCATAACATTTTCACTGATACCTTACATGGTGTGACGGGTTGGATCACAGAAACCCCCTTGAGAGCTGCCACTTGATGTGCCAAGACTACCTCTGTTCCTGCTTTCCCTGCCAGCTCAGGACAAGCACCTTCACGCTTTCTTTCATGCTGCCCCTCATGCTTGGGAGGAGCTCCCCATAAACATCTGAAAAATTAACAGATTATCCCTCTTCAAATCCCTCCTTAAAACTCTCCTTTGCCATGGTGCCAACAAAAAAATTGGCAATGGTTAGGTAGCTGGTGTCTATCACCCACCATCATGCTGACCAGTATTGTCTCATTGTTTCCCCCCATTTGTGTCCATCTGTTGTCTCTTGTCTTATCCTTAGCTTGTAAGCTCCTGGGGACAGGGACTGTCTTTTTGTTCTGTGTTTGTACAGTGCCTGGCACAATGGGGTCAGGGTCCAGGTGCACAACTAGGGCTTCCAGGCACTCCAAATAGTAAATAATAATAATAAACACATTAAAATGGTGCTCAGATTAAATTAACTCTTGTTTATTAAACAGAGCTGAAATTAGTTTAAGTGTTAAACAGGAAATGGAAACATTTTTAACTCGTATTTGTATATGCAGCCACTGAGTAAAAATGATGGTGTGCATGCTACATCTCTTGTCCATTTTCACAAAGATAATGGTAGTAATCCCAGTGTTCTGGCCATATTCTAAATCAGGTGGATAGCTGAAGTTCCCCTGTAGTTTCAAATGGACACATTTTTATTTACATTCCACCTGAAAGTTGTATTTTTATGCAGTTAAATAAAGCTGTGTTCCTTCACCAGAGGTGATGGCATTTGAGAGGTGTATGAACTGTGAGGCCTGGATATAGTTTGTATGGGCCAGATCCTTTCCTCTGTGAGGGGAAAAAGCTTGCGTAGGGCACAAAAATTATGCAAGGCTTCCCCTTTGGAGCTTCTGTTCTGCTGCTCACAGTTGAGGTATTGTGGGATGATACTGGTGCAGAGCGGCGACAACTCCTAGCCCTGCACCCTGCCTTCAGACAGTGTGTTTCCAAAGGATTGGAATGACACTGCAGAGCTGACATTACCTTACCTCTTTCCACTTCCCCCACCGCTCAGATCAGTGGAGTTTCATGCCTTCCAATCGTGGAAACATAGAAAAGATTTGGGCCATGTAAAGCACTTTGAAATCCTTCAGCACAAAAGGACCAGAGGAATACAATATACAGAGCCAAATTCGCTTTACATTTACAGTACAAACCTATGAAATCCTATTGATACCAGTGGAGTTACATAGATGTAATAGAAGGCAGAATTTTGCCAAATCTTATTACAAGGTTGTGGAAAACTTTAAAATATTGTCCTTAGTCATACTTTTAAAAATGTAAAATTTTTAATTGCAACAGAACACTTTAAAGCACACAATATACTATCACACAAAATAACATTGTTTGCCCTCTTGTTGTAGCCATGTTGTCCTGAGAGAGACAAGAGGAGGTAATATCTTGTATTGGACCCAGCTTCTGCTGGTATAAGACAAACTTTCAAGCTCCACAGAGCTCTAATTCAGGTCTGGGCAGCAGAAGTGCTTTAAATGCTTCTGTAGTTTGGGTTTTTGTACAGTTCGCAAGGAATCTCCTTCCCATTGAAGGGGCTGTAACGACTTCACGCAAATAATTACATGAATTGAGCTAAATTTCCTTTCCCCTTCTATTTACTGGAAATAACGAGAGAGTAAATTATCATGGCGGCGGCTGCTACTGTCCCTGTGCTGTGTGTGCACTGCGGCAAGATCGCCTTTATGGCATCTGTTACACCGCAACCCCTTGTGTGCTCCAGCAGACACTGGGCTTAACTGTTGTGACTGAGGGAGATTCCTTGGGCGGCGGAGTTAAATTGCACACTGAGGCCCTAAACTCTGCAGCTTGCCACCGAGAAGAATTATTGTCTTTCCTGCCTATCGCCACCTCCCACACATGCAGTTGCTGTTAAGGCAAAAGGCCTTATTCTCCAAGCACAATACGCTAGAGAATGCACGTAATTTTGCACACACCCCTCCCCCACGCCAGCTGAGCAAAAAGCAACTGAAGAATTTAACGCAAAATGGAAGCCTCTTCCTTCCCTAACCCCAGCTCGGAACAAGCGACAGCTACGAAACTTTCGTATAATATTTACGTAATATGCCGCTTGGCCAGGGTTTTCCTCACAGTTCGTAGGTGGGTTACATGATCGGCATTTTGCGCAGTCGAATTTCGGGAATAGGGAGAGCGTTGTCTCCACACGCAAAAAGCCAACTCAGCTACCAGGCACTACGTAATTTGCGTACACTGTTCTGTTTTTTTCCGGCCTCGTACGTACCCGGATTTCGAGAATAGGCGCAGCGGCATTCACCCCCTCCCCCCGGCTATTCAGGGACGGAGTTTACGCAAAGTTCAAGCCGCCCTTAACGTAAGTAGAGCGGGCTGGGGCGGTGGCGGCCATTTTGTGCCGGGAGTCCGGAGGAAGAGGACGCTGTCTTGTCTCCGCGCTCGACGGGCCCTGACGCTAACCGAGCCGCTCTCGGTCCCGCGAACCAATCCCGGCCGGATCTCTAGCCTCCCCGCCCCCTCCCCCGGGAAGTGAGGCGGCCAAGGGCGACTCCGCCGGGACACAACTGCCGCCGCCGGCCGAGCCCCCCGCCCCGCGCCGCCCCCAGCTCGCGCCCCTCGGTGCCCCCTCTGCGGGAAAATGCGAGGCTTCGGAGACCGGGGCCGCGACCGTGACCGCGGCGGGTAAGAGGCCCGGGGTGCGGCAGCCCGGTGTGGAGGAGGGTCGGGGTGGGGCGGAGAAGCCGGGCAAGGCCCCGAGACTTGGGCGGGGGGAGCG